TAAAACAATTCTGTTATGGTTAAAAAAGTTGGTTAAATAAAGATTTAATTGGAAGTCTGTTTTTGTGTTCTTTATTAAAATTAAATCAATTAGCAATATCATAAAATGTCCAGGCAGAGCTGCACATAAAATATGGTTTGAAATCTTTTCAATGATTATCGATATCGAACAATATGCATTTTTTTTAATCGATAAGCTTTTTTTCTATATCGCCCAGCCCTAGGACCAAGAATGCACTGGTATTACACTGAAAGAAATGTAAAAATGTATTCATAGAAGAAAATGTTCCCAATAAGTTATTGGTGATGCAGCCCTTGTATTGTTTATTAATTTTCTTCTTCTTTTTTTTTTCTCAGGTACTTTTTAAAGGAGAGTTTCTGTTTCACAGAGTGCAATCAAACATTCCAATACACTTTTTTTTAAGATAAAAATGTTAGCTTACCTGAGTTACAATCGTCTCCAGCAAAGCCATCCTGGCAAACGCAGAAACCCTCTTTGCAGACTCCTTTCTTACTACAGTTATTGGCACAGTAGACCAATGAGCAGTCTTCTCCCACATAGCCGGGCCGGCACTGGCATGTCCCATTGACACACACTCCTTGATCTGAGCAGTCATTGAGACATCGTCCAACCATGCAGTCTTCACCTGTGAAGGACTCCTCGCACACGCACTCCCCATCAATACACAGGCCCCTGCCTGAGCAGTCGGAAGGACACCGTGGCTCTGAACAGTTGTCTCCTCCAAAGTCACGGTCACACACACACTCCCCTTCAATACACACCCCCTGGCCAGAGCAGTCATTCGGGCAGCGAGGCTCGGAGCAGTTTTTGCCGCCCCAACCTTCCTCACAGACGCAGCCACACAGTTCAAAGCTGAAGCTTCCATGGTTGCTACATCCTGGGACAAAGTCCAATCGACCTGTGGGGAAAATCGAACACTGTGTATCAAATTACAGTATTGAATTTGATTTAATGGAAAAATTAATTGAATCTAATACAAACAATTCCATTTTGTATTAGATTACTTAACATCAATGATTACATAAAACAGGATCACCTAGAAATTAGATTAAAGGCAAAGACACTTTGGTGCAATTACACAACTGCAAAATCCAAACTACAAAAATAATTGTTAGAACATATGCATATACAGCTGCTTCAATAAGATTACTCCTACAGCCATCCTCTTTTGCTAAGCTTGTCATCCTCTTTGTGATTCTGATCATGACTGCTGGAGAAAATCATTTTCTTTCCATGGAGATAGAGCATTTTTTGGAGAGTATTTGAAATGGGTGATGGTGTCATTGGAGCAGATACTTAAAACATAATTTATTCAGTGGTCCTGTTCACTCTGGTCCTCTCATAACATGAGAGCAGGAGAATCAAAGATTTCTTCATAGCCTTCTCCACAGCACAGATAAAAATAAGCAGCCATCCAGAATCAATAATATGGTGTTGTCTACCTCATGTTTTCCACCTCCTTTGCTTTTCTTTCCTTTGTGTATCTGTTTACATTCTCCTATGGTGTTACTTCAAATAAAACCCCTTGTACAACAAATGCAGGAGGAAATTTTAATTAAATAAACCCCAGAAAATCCTGTTTTATTTAAATATTTTGCTGTCAGCAATACAGAACTCACCCATGGCAGAGCCTTCCCCACAGCACCCTGATCCACACTGAGCTCTGAGGATGGACACCTCTCTCTCCAACATCTCCAGTCTGGTGGCAAGCTGCTGGATTGTGGTTTGTGCTGGACAACTGCATGCTGCTTTTGGTATGTTGATTCTATGAGTAAATGTCACCTAAGCAAGGAACATATAGAAGAAGAATGATTTAGAGATAGCAGAGACTAGAACCAAAGGACAAAGGTCTCTTGGTTAGGACATCTGAAATCAGATCCATCCAGGATCGCAGCCTGGGGTAAGTTTCCTAAACTCTGGAGAAGTCTTGCCTTTCCAAAGCTGAGATCCATAGAGCTTAAAGATCTAACAATTTTAGGAAAACTTTTTCTATTTGTTCGACATTTTTTGATCATTTTAGGTGTTTAATGTTGTTTGAAGCAAGCTTAAAAAAAGAAGCTAAATGTGACTGTATGTTACTCAATGCTCATATATTTGACCTCACTTTTACTTTTATTTCCTGATATGCTCATCATTTGATTGCCAACATATGATCACAGTCCCCTTGTCTCTGCTAGTTACTAGCTCCATTGTTTCCATTGATCTTGCTAAAGAAGCGAGGTGGTTCTTACATTAATTATTCCATCAGGACTCATGACAAAAGGGTAAGAATAATTTATCTATTGATTTCTCATTTAGCCAAGTAAAATAAAATACTATTTGACTCAATTATGTTTTATTTATTTATCTTCTTGGATTTGCATTGTGAAATTGGCTTAAGACATTCCAGTTGCCCAAAATTTGTTCAAAGCTAATTTGATTAATTTCATTCCAAACTATTCAAAATAAAATTTAGTTCTCAAAAATAAAATAAAAAACACTGTGGTATTATTGCAACAATTTAATGATTATATTTTCATCAATTTCTGTTTCTTTTTCTTTGTGTACATAGTGGCTTGTTTTGGTTAAGTTTAACTAAGAGTTTTACATGGAGTTGAACTATGTTTGTTAATTCTTACATTTTGAATGGAAATTGATGTGAATTCATTCCATATGATAGCAGAGTTATCTATTTGACTATCATTTGAGCTCAAATTACGCTTTTATATGTTGTCCTAACACACAGCCTGTTGGGCATATGTTAAAAGAACAACATACAGTATGACAGTCCAAAAGTTATTTGACAAACTCTAACCCTTACTGCCTCGTCAGCCTCCAACTTTATGTCACTGAGCAGATCATCAATGGTTTTGATGACCAGGCAGTTGAAGGGTTCACTACCCCACCACTGGATGGTCGCTGAACGTTATTGCAAGACACAGTGTTAGCATCATTAATGTGTTTGCAGCAGGTTTTGCATTTACAGTTAATTTGCGTTTTGCATCTCCCTGCTATCTGTGATTGCAGCATTTGTCTTTTGCAGCTCTTTTCCTACATGTGTTTTGTGTGTATGTCAACTTTTTCTTTTTGCTAGTCTCATTTGTGTTTGCAAGCATATTTTCTGTATTTGCAGTAGTTTTTGTATTTGCTCATGGATTTGTAGGACGTTTTTACTCCTTAGTAACCACAGTTTTGGGATTTGAAAACAACACAAAACTCTAAATTGGTTAAAGTATGCAAGACTACCTGACTCTCAGCATCAAGTGTCTGTTCGGTGTATTCTGTAGGTCCAGAAGGCTCCACCTCAACTGGGGGTCTGGATCCCAACTCAGCACGATAATCTATGATGTATCAATGAAAAAAAAAATGTCTTAAAATTTTTATTACAACATGATTCTGCACATCCTTATGAAATGGTTAGATAGTTTCTCTGAATGATTTTGTGAAAGATTCAGCTTAATTAGAGGCACAAGCTGGTCACCTTGGACTGGAGCCATAGATGCATCCAGGTCAACAGAACACAGAGACTCCATTGGCACGTTAATGTTGTACACATGGTTAAAGACAAGAGGCTGCTCTCTCAAAGTCTGGTTGACTGAGGAAGCAGAGGGGAACGGATCCCCCTCTGGGATCTGCCTTCTCACTCTGGTGGTTCGAACCAGCTTGTTGTCTCCTGATGGAGCAGAATGTGTAGCACCCTGGAGCGAGAGAAAATATGAAACAAAAAAACATTACACATGCTGTGGACTCAGGGGATTCGTGTTTGTTCTCTTTTTTGGCCTTCATATGACTGTGTATTTACAAAATGATGGAGTAGCAGCAATGAAAAGAGCCAAGGGGGATGACAAACAAGGCTACAATAAAATACAAAACATGGCAAATGGTGTTACTGGCTTATACAATGACAAAACAATTTTCAAATAGAGAAAAGAGTAATCTCCAAAAAAACAGTTATGACAGTTCAGTATTTTTAAACTGTTTTCTATATAATAGAGGAAGATCTATAATAAGAAATACAAAGGGTAGAGGAATTATAAGAGGAGAAAATTATATACGATGTCCAAACTAGATAATCTGAATGTAGGTAAAAATATTTATACATAAAAAGAAGACTAAATCTGAAATTGGGTGTTAATTCTTATTAAGGACTCCTTAGTCACATCTGTAGAAACATGTTTTTCAACAATCATGGCTGGAAGTTTTTTGGTGAAACCAACCTTTGAGAGACAGAATAGTTAGTCCAATCTTTGCTAGCTCAAGCTCAGTGAGACTGAATAAACAGACTCCATAAACAACAAATCTCAAGCCTTACCTCAGATTTGAATTAGATTTAGATTGTCTGCCTTTGATCTAAACAATCCCCTTGTATCTCAGTCATATGTTTGGGGTTGCTAACCCACTAAATGGTAAACCTCTGTACTCAGCCTAAACCTTTTGCATGTTCAACTAGATTTTCTTCCAGGCTTCGTATTATGCATTTAGTTTAATTCATCTTTCCATTGATTATGACCTTAAGGGAGGGATTGGGCATCTGGTTAGGATGCCTCCTGGACGCCTCCCTGGTGAGGTGTTCCGGGCACGTCCCACCCGGGGAAGACCCAGGATACGCTGGAGAGACTATGTTTCTCGGCTGGCCTGGGAACGCCTTGGGCTTCCTCCTGAGGGGCTAGAAGAAGTCGCTGGGGAGAGGTAAGTCTGGGCCTCCCTTCTTAAGCTGCTGCCCCAGCGACCCGACCCCGGATAAGCGGAGGAAGATGGATGGATCGATGGAAATTGCATAACCCAAACGTGATGCCTGTCATCTCGTTCAGTTGCAGACAGCTCTGTCCAGCTTCACAGCTGACTTTTAATCAACCCATCAGCAAAGCCGTAAGCTGTCGTCCACATTCCAGTCGAGGCACTGCTCATCTGGAACACACCTGATATCACCTCTCTGGCCAATAGGAACAGAATAATGTAAATTTGATACCGGTACGCTAATGTATTAATTTTTATACAGTTTTTTACCACCTTAGAATCCAGTTCTATTGAAAAAATGGAAGGAAGGGGTTTAGTTAAGCTAGTAGCTATAGTAATTGTTAAACATAAACAGAACATTTATTTTAAAAATCTTAGCAAAATATATTCTGGGAAAAAAACTGTCAAAAAACACCACACATGATATAAAGGCACTTTATTTTACTTGCAAAATAACCTAAATGTGTACTTCAGAGTGTATGAGGTTTGTGGTTTCCAGCTCAAACCTGCTAACTGTTAGCAAACTATAGATGTACACTGGATTGGATTAAAGATGCGTTGCACAGTGGCAGTGTTTGTAGCATTGCAGCAGTGAAGCAGTGAAACAAAAATGTCCTAGGTTTGAGCCAGGCCTACAAGTTTTCCCTGAGCATGTATGTGTTCTCTCCAGGTAGTCAGCTTCAACCTACAGACCAAAAACATGTCGATTTGATTAATTGGTAATTCCTAATTGAGTCTCTCTGCATGTCTCCATATTGCCCTGTGATGAACTAGTGACATGTCAAAAACTACTGCAGCCCCCAGTGACGTTGATGGATAGGTGGTGGAAGATTGATGGATAAGGAAAATAATATTCACAAAACATAAGGATGAAAGACAATTAACCAAAATAATAAAAAAGGGGGGATTTAAGTTGCTTTGTCAATTTTACCTGTAGTGCAAAAAGCAGAGCCACTGCCAGGATTGTTGTGGGCTCTGGGGCCCAAAAAGACTGCTTTGATTGTGGCATTCTGGAATCACTCCTCACTTTTGTTCTCCGCAAACACCTTTTAAGGAATGATAAGAAGACAAAATTGAAAATGTGTTAGTTTGAATGACAATTCCAAAAATAGGCCCAAGTACAATGGACTTTATCTGTCTGCAAATTGATACACTTAACAAGGTACCCAGATTCAGCCAATATATTTTTAATAAATGGAATAAAGAATAAAAAAATTAAATAATATATATATATGTAAATATACACATCATGGAATCAATAAATAGCAGCCCATACAAATCACTTTTACAAACCAACCAAAAACAATCAATGAGTTTGTTTGCAAAATTTTAGAACACCACTGAAATCCCTACATATAATTATATGTTACATACTTTTCCATGCCAACAATGATTAGAGCAATACCACAAGCATAATCAACTTGTTGAAAAAAAGAGTTAGTTTTAGTTACAAACACCAGCAATGGTGATAAACATGCCACCTGGGTAATCTACTTGCAAATTTCACTGGTAACCAGTGTTGTGCATGAACATGTTAATTGAATGGTGTTCACTAAATATGTTCAGATTTTTTTGTGAACGGTGAACTGAACTGACCGGTTTTGAAGTAATGAATGTGAACGAGAGCGACATTCACTCTGAGCATAATGAGCAACACGCACACACAGCACAAGTTCGCGTTCAATTGATAAAAACACTTTTCATTGAAAAACATCAGGTTTTATGGAAACATACCAGCATGTCTAAAGTTAGTACTAGTGTGCGCGATTCAGACTTATCTTCTGGTATTTCTGATTCCAGTTTTGCAGAGCAACTCACAGAGTTTTATAAACTAACAACGGAAGACTGACAGAAAAAAAACAAACTTTATGTGCAAACTGTGCCCACCAGGACTTAACAAACAAGTCCTTACATCAGCCACATCCACTTCAGTTTAAAATGACACATCGAGTTAAAGCATCCGTATCTGCTATTGAATGAGGAACGTAAGAAATAGTTTTGATACAGACCTTTTCAGCAGAACTTGAATGTTCCTGTATGTTTCTAAAGTTCAGTGTAATTAGGCCAAATAAAGGGCTTCACTACACACACAGTATACCTTGACTGCACTGAGTAGTTTCCATTTCTTTCTATATCTAACGATCACACATGAAATAAGAGGTTCTATTGTGTGAACTTGAAGTAGTTCATAAATAGGTTTGTGAACTATGAACGTGAACTAGTTCCTTTTCATCTGTGTTAATTGAACTTTGAGCTTGTTCTTTTTAACTATGAACTGCCACAACATTTCTGGTACCAATGATTAATATATAATCAAGTTTGATAAATTTTTATTCACAGACTTTTGTTTTGTATTTTACAAACAATATTTTGTACTTTGCAAACAATATTTCTTTGAATATGGTAAATGGATGAGCATGGTTTAAGGTTAGTTTCTAAACCGTTCCAAAGTTGGATGCCATACACATAGACATACATTGACTTTCTCATGGTCCTTACAACTGGTAGGGCATTTTAAGTTTACCACATCTCTTCAGGATATACTGTAGCCTCCTTCTCTACTTAAAAACTATTTTGTTGTCAGTTGAATGTTAATAATTTGTCATTAGCCTTGCATATTAATTGTGCAGTATAGAAGTCAATTAAATAATTAAATTTGTAGCACTCAAGACTGTTTGTGTGATCATGCTAGCCGGAATCATGGCATTTCGAATACAGCGTAAAAGTACAAACCTGGTGTTATTCATGTATTATTCATGTATTATTGTTATTATTCACTCTGGCTCCCTAAGCAGGACCCTTAACCCCACACTGCTCCCCGGAGGCCTCACAATGGCAGCTCACTGCTCGCCAAGTGGATGGGTTAAATGCAGAGAAGTCATTTCCCTCTGGGATTATTAGAGTGTATTAAAAAAAATTAGATGTAAAAAAATGTTTTTTTTATTAAAAAAAACTAAAAAAATTAGAAAAAATAATAAAATATTTTATATACATCAGATATTCATTAACATGCGTCTTGACTGTAATGCCTGCTTTGAGATGAGTCTGCAGCAGTCATCTACTTTAAGTATGAAGCTATAAATAGGACAAGAACTTACATTTAGTAGTGTAGTAAAGCTAAAGGACATAACCAGGACCTGATACTATCAAAGACAACATCAAGTCCTGGAGAACGGGAAATGTAAACTAGACCATATAAACCAGGTATAAAATTTCAAAAGCGGATCAGCTGTTGCCATAAACCATTACATACATCCAAGGCATGTCTTGATGACAAAAAGACCTGTATGACTTTCAGTTTTACGTATTACAATTTAGACTTAAAATTGAAGTTATCTTTGGATCAGAGGGGCTGGTTCTGACGGAGGTCTCTTCCTGTTAAAAGGGAGTTTTTCCTCTCCACCTCAATATATGCATGCTCAGTGTGATTGATTACAGAAGAATGAATGAGTCGATGCAATGAGCTGATTTTACAGTACTCAGATAGAACATTGTTGATCAATCTGAATATGATCTGGTTGGGTGCTCTATGTTAAGGGCCTTGGGGTGGTATGTTTTTGTGGATTGGCGCTAGATAAATAAACTAAATTGAATTGAATAAAAGTCCTGATTATCTGTGTGAGTCTCTCCAGGTTGAAATAACCTTATAATTTCGCCAAGCTTATGATGATTAACAGACTGAAACAAGAATTTACCGTAAGTACCAGCATTGACAGAGGAGATAAAGATTACTCTCACACAGAGAAATAATTCAGCCAAATTTTAAGAGTAATGAACACTCATTACATTAAAAAAAGTCCTATTTACTTTTTTTAAGACAATATTAACACAAATGTATCAAATAAACCTTACATGATTCATAGTAATTTACAAAAATACGGGTTATTTATTTAAAATATATAATCATAATGTTTATGACTAAAGTATTAATAAAGCATTGTAATTGAAATACATAACGTTAATTGTTTAAATTGCATAAGTGCAAGCTGATTATTATGCATTTAAAACAGATCAACTTTATATATTTTATTCTAGATAAATTAATTTAGGTGTAAATTAATCTTGATCAAGATTACTTTATTAATTTAAAATACATAAACCCAATATTTAAGTATTTTAATCAATTAGTCTATATTAAATTAATGAAAATGCATCATGTTAAGTTTATTAAAATATGGGGGTAAAATTTCAGTGACAGTAAAAAATTTATGAAGAAAATAGGACAAATTTCTAAAAGGATTTTTTTTTTTCTTTTTGCATAATATAACCAGAATTTTATATTTTACCAACATTTTAGATTTCTCTCTGTGAGAGATCCAGACTTTGAAATCTTTAGGTATTTACTTAAGTTTTCAGGTCAAAGTTTTAATCTTATCTTGTGGCCTAGTGGTTATAGTTTTAGATCTTTGGTTTTACAAAATCTAACACATACATACACACACACACACACACACACACACAGATTATATATACATAGATATATATATATATATATATACACATACTTTGGGCAGAGAAAACATTTGTTAGTGTGAGTTTCAAAGAGATTTGCAGGGATTTCATGCTACGTATGCTAGATAACATGTGAGGCTTGAATTCTATAATCCTTTTTTATCTTAGCAGTGCATCTCCTATTTGTAAAACAGGTTGCCTCTCTCAGCTGGGCCTTTTTCTGAGTGCAAGATGAAAATCATCTTATCCCACCTTACAGGCTCAGACCTCTTTTCATCCTTACAGGTAAACATGTTGATTTATCAGTGTATTTGAACATAGATAAGAGACAACTTGTTTTGTGCCTATGCAGTGTCTCTGTAAGGTATAGTCTCTTTCAAAGGCTTTCTTTGTTAATAATGTACACCTAATGTCCCAGATTCTACCTACAAGCTGTAAGACCTAAAGCCAAGGGATGCTTTACTGCTAAAGTTCTCTATTTTGAACATTTTGTTTTATAAAAAAAAATAAGTGTAAAAATTCAATCTGAAAAACTCACACAAAGAGAAAGACAATTAGGAGAAATGTACTGATACAATTACTTTGTCTTTGGCGCTCAGACAGGAAACATAGCAGTTAATTTTGATAGATATGCATGAACAGGAGCAGAAAATAAGGACTGTTTCCCCCCCAGGCCTGAAACTGGTGGTGGAGTGGAGATAGATGAAGTTGGTCAGTCTGTAGACTGCTGGTTAGTGAGACGGTATGCTGAGCTTTATGGGGAGATCCAGTGGATTGGGTGAGCTGATAATAGAGCTTCACTCAGGAAGATGGATGTCCAGTTGGATAACACAGGTTGAAAGAACCTGTCCATGATGAGCAAGCATGAAGCGACAGTGGAGAGGAAAAACTAAGATGAGACGGGGAACGCAGTAAGAGTCCGGGAGGAATGACTCTCTAAGCTTTAGCTACGGAGGTGGAGGAGGGGCTGGAGGTGTGTTGAAACAGTGTCATCTGAATGAAATCACACAGCGCATCTGCTGCCTGCCCACAGGAGCAGACAGGTGCGTATCGGAGGCCTTTTAAGATGAGCTTTGGAAGCTGATTGGCTTTCGCAGAGGTGTGGTTCAAAACTGATTGGCTGTGTCGCAGGTGGAACAATCAGTTTCTTCAGTTGAATTTCCACCTAGGCTCCATTAAACACATCAATAGCATAGAACTATGCCCCCCACCTTAGTAGATGGAAATAATTTCACCTTAAAAGGCCTTATCTGCAGCATATACAAAATAAATAAATACATACATAAATAAATCAATAAAGGTATTGATGTGGTGAGGTGGGCAAAACAAGCTATAAATAGACAGTGGTTTAATGCTGGCCAATCTTTAAATATTATCTTATTAAATATAACAAACATATTGTGACGTTCATTTAAAGCGAATGTAATCATAATATAAAGTTACATTTTATACTTAAGATCAGATATATTTTTTACTGGATCATTTGTTTGAAATATAACAAGTAGAATATTTTCAAAATGCACAAAATATGTTATACTGATGATTAGTAATGAAACTAAGAGACTACTGGTCATAAAACCTGAAATCATAAATT